AAGATACCAGCTGGGAGTGGTGTGTGCCTTGAACCAACACAAAAGACAGCTGTTCTGTTACACAGTGTCTGCTTCTGACAGGGACACAGGATCTGGTTTGTTGTTGTTGTTTGTTTGTTTTTTTGAGATGGAGTTTCGCTCTTGTTGCCCGGGCTGGAGTGCAATGGCGCAATCTCGGCTCACCACGACCTCCGCCTCCTGGGTTCAAGCGATTCTCCTGCCTCAGCCTTCCGAGTAGCTGGGACTACAGGCATGTGCCATCACGCCTGGATAATTCTGTATTTTTGGTAGTGGCAGAGTTTCTCCATTTTGGTCAGGCTGGTCTTGAACTCCCGACCTCAGGGGATCCACCTGCCTCGGCCTCCCAAAGTGCTAGGATTACAGGCATGGCACGCCCAGCCAACTCATTATTTTTAAAACTGATAAAGCAAAAGAATGAAACTTTTTTTTTTTTTTTGAGAAGTAGTCTCACCCAGGCGGAGTATAGTGGTACGATCTTGGGTCACTGCAAACTCCGCCTCCCGGGTTCAAGCATCTCTCCTGCCTCAGCCTCCTGAGTAGCTGGGACTACAGGCGCCCGCCACCACGCCTGGCTAATTTTGTATTTTTAGTAGAGACAGAGTTTCTCCATGTTGGTCAGGCTGGTCTCGAACTCCCGACATCGCGGCCTTCCAGAGTGCTGGGATTACAGACATGAGGCACCTCGCCAGGCTAGATACAGGTTCTTAATAACAATTGTTTCAGAGTAACACTTGCTTTCTCATAGCACAAAGCCCCTGGCCTGTTCTCTCTCCACCCCTCTCTCTTTCTCCCTCATCTCTATCTTTATCTCTAGCTCCATTCGCGTCAGGGAATACATAAAATATGTACTAATAAAATGTTCTGTTGGACAATATTGCTCTTTGGCATAAACTTTAGAATCAGCTCAACTATTTTCATTAAAAACTCTGTCATGATATGGAATAAAATTAGATTGAAGTTATATATCAGTTTGGAGAGAATTCACTTCTTTTCAGTGTGGAGCCTTCTTAGTCATGAATATGGTGTGTCTCCCCATTTGTTTACATCTCCTTTAAATCCTTCCAGTATGTTTTTAATCATTTTCTTCACAGATAAATAAATGTATTCCTATAAATCTTTCTTCACTACTATTGTAAAGGATCTATATTCATAAAGTGTATTTTCTGTTATTCCTGGTACGTGAGAAAGCACTTCATCTTGTTTTTGTTGTTGAATAGCAACCTTTTATCTTGGAGCCTAGCTAAATTATCTTTTTTTTTTTCTCTCTGTAGATTCCTTTGGGTTATCTAGGTGAATAGTCATAAATCTAAGAGTGATGATAATTTTCTTCTTTTCTTTCCCATTCTTACATTATTTCTCCCTTGCCTTTTTAAATTTATTTAGTCTCTGGAGTTGCTAGGCTTTTTGCTAATATTGAAGGGGAAAAATGGTGTCACTTGGCATTCTTGTTATATTTTATTTATTTATTTATTTATTTAGATGGAGTCTCACTTTGTTGCCCAGGCCAGAGTACAGTGACGCAATCTTGGCTCACTGCTACCTCTGCCTCCTGGGTTCAAGTGATTCTCCTGCCTCAGCCTCCTAAGTAGCTGGAACTACAAGCGTGTGCCACCACGCCCGGTTTGTTTTTGTATTTTTAGTAGAGACAGGGTTTCACCGTATTGAGCAGGCTGGTCTCAAACTCCTGATCTCATGATCCGCCCACCTTGGCCTCCCAAAGTGTTGAAATTATAGGCATGAGACACCGCACCTGGCTTCCTATTATATTCTTGATTTGAAAGAATACTTTTAATATTTCACTATTAAGTGTAGTGTTTGCTGTATACTTTTCGTAGCTGTTACCAGGTTGGGGACGTTCCCTGCAATGCCTAGTTGGCTCTTATATTCATTTTAAAAAATAACAAATAAAGACTGAATTTATCAGGAGAATTTCTGCAGCCCATGAGATGATCAGATGTGTTTTCTTCTTTGATCTATGAACGGATTTTCTTTAAACATGTTTAAAATTAAATGTATTGCTTTTGACAAGTAATATGCTCACATGGCCCTAAACTGAAAAGGCTGACAGTAGGAACTCCTTCACCTCCCCTGGAGAGGCCTGTGTCCCATGATCATTTGTGTGCATCCTGAGATATCCTTTACATAAAAGAAAAAATACATTATTCAAATTCTCTTCCATGCACATTGTATCATAATATACATTACTGTTAATTATTATTATTTTGAGACAGAGTTTCTGTCAGCCAGGCTGGAGTGCAGTGGTGTGATCTCGGCTCACTGCAACCTCTGCCTCCCAGGCTCAAGCAATTCTCCTGCCTCAGCTTCCCCAGTAGCTGGGATTACAGGCACTCACCACCATGCCTGGCTAATTTTTTGTGTTTTCAGTAGAGATGGGGTTTCGCCATGTGTTCCAGGCTGGTCTTGAACTCCTGACCTCAAGTGATGCTCCCACCTTGGCCTCCCAAAGTGTTGGCATTACAGGCATGAGCCACCATACCCAGTCCACAATATAGAATTATTCTGTGCCACCCTTTTTTTTTTTTTTTCCTTAACAATCTGTCTCAGCCAGGCGCGGCAGCTCAATCCTGTAATCCCAGCACTTTGGGAGGCCGAGGCAGGTGGATCATTTGCGCTCAGGAGTTGGAGACCAGCATGGCCAACATGGTAAAACCCCGTCTCTACTAAAAGTACAAAAATTAGCTGGGCGTGGTGGTGGGCACCTGTAATCCCAGCTACTCTGGAGCCTGAGGCAGGAGAATCGCTTGAACCCGGCGGGAGTGGAGGTTGCAGCGAGACAAGATCACACCACTGCACTCCAGCCTGGGCGACAGAGTGAGACTCTGTCTCAAAAAATAAAAAAGTAAAAAATAAAGACAGCTGGGGTTGGCAGGGCAAGGTACCAAGGAGGAGAGCACGGGGATTGAGAATCCCGGAGACCTGGAGAAGCTCCCTTCAAACTTCCAGGTGTGATCAGTGCAGGCACTGGAGGAAACCACCCCAAACTGGGAAGGAACGTCCCAAAAGGACATACGGGAACAATTTTCAGAGCTCACGCACCACCAGAGGGGAAGCACCGCACAATTCGTAAGGTATTGAGAAGACTACCCAGAAAGGTTTTGCCTTAATAGAAGAAAGATTAGCTCTAGACTAGATGCTGCTTTTATTCTGCCTGACAAGGCTTGAAAGCGAGACCCATGCCATCACCAAGAAGATGAGGGAAAAAAGAAAATAAAAATAGAAAAAAAGAAAAAAAAAGTAATACCCAGAAGGGCCAAGCATAACTGCCTCCCAGAACAAATGTTAAGAATGGTTAAATGAATACAACAGTATCCAGCACCCAGCAAGGTAAAAGTGACAATGCCTGGCATCCAATCAGAAATAAACAGGAATTCAAAGAAGCACAAAAATATGATCCATCGTGAGGAGAAAAATCAGTCTATAGAAGCAGACTCACAAATGATAAAAAGAAAGAATTTACACATAGGATATTAAAACAGCTATTATAATTGTATTTTTTTATGTCCAAGATGTTAAAAGAAAGGATACTTACGTTAAAAAGAGACAAGGAAAATATTCTTAAAACACCCAAGGACTTCTAGAAATAAGAACTACAGTGTCTGAGACAAAAATCACACTAGATGAATTTGATGGCAGATTGGAGAACTAACCAGCCAAATGAAACACAGAGAGAAAGGCCGGGTGTGGTGGCTCATGCCTGTAATCCCAACACTTTGGGAGGCCAAGGTAGGTGGATCATAAGGTCAGGAGTTCGAGACCAGTCTGACCAATATGGTGAAATCCCATCTCTACCAAAAAAGTACAAAAAAGAAAATTAGCCAGGTGTAGTGGCACAGGCCTGTAATCCCAGCTACCTGGGAGGCTGAGGCAGGAGAATCGCTTGAACCCAGGAGGTGGAGGTTGCAGTAAGCTGAGATCATATCATTGCACTCCAGCCTGGGCGACAGAGCGAGACTCCGTCTCAAAAAATAAAATAAAAAAAGACCAGGCATGGTGGTTCACGCCTGTAATCTCAGCACTTTGGGAGGCCGAGGTGGGTGGATCATGAGGTCAAGAGATGGAAACCGTCCTGGCCAAAATGGTGAAACCCTGTCTCTACTAAAAATACAAAAACTTAGCCAGGCGTGGTGGTGGGCGCCTGTCATCCCAGTTACTCAGGAGGCTGAGGCAGGAGAATGGTGTGAACCTGGGAGGCAGAGCTTTCAGTGAGACGAGATTGCCCCACTGCACTTTAGACTGGGCAACAGAGTAAGACTCCATCTCAAGAGAGAACAACAACAAAAAAAAGAAACACAGAGAGAAAAAAGACTAAAAGAAAAATCCCATCAAATACAAATGAACAAAGCATCGGTGAGCCACGGGACCACTCCAAGCAGGCTAACATGCGTGTAATAGAAAGTTCCCAAAGGATGGGTGCAGAAATTATTTGAAGAAATGCCAGCTGAAACGTTTTCAAACTTCATAAAATTTACAAACTCACAGATTCAAACATTCAAAAGAACCCCAAGCACAATAAACATGAAAAAACGACAGGCGGGCACATCATGATTAAATTGCTTAAACCCAGCAATCTGTGCCAAAGGAAATATTTTGAAAGAAGCATCCGTAGAAAAAGGATACATCACATACAGAGAAACCAAATGAGAATGACAGCAGGCATCTCACCAGGAGCAACACAGTTTAGAATATAGTAAAGCAACAGCTTTAAAGTTCTGGAAGAAAATTAAAAAACTGTCAACTTGAATTTTTATATCCAGAAAAAATTTCTTGAAGGTAAAATAAATATTTTTTTTTTCAGCTAAAAGTTTTCATAACCGGCAGACAGACACACAAAAAGTTTTTTAAAGGACATCGGTCAAGCAGAAGGAAAATTATACTAGATGGAAGCTGATCTACACAAAGCAATGACAAATACCAGAAATGGTAGATTTTCCTTTTTTCTTTTTTCTTTTTTTTGAAGTGAACATAAACTGAAGATTTTACTGTCTTCATAATAAAAGATGACACTTAGAATTGGATCACTTGGCCCTTTCTTGTCTTATCTCCTCCCAGTTCAAAATGCTTGCATCTTTTAGTAGCCAGCATTCTCTCAGATCTGCAGTTGGGCTCAATGCACTCAAGCCTTAGCACAATCTTTTTTTTTTTTTTTTTTTTTTTTTGTATTTTTTAGTAGAGACGGGGTTTCACCGTGTTAGCCAGGATGGTCTCGATCTCCTGACCTCGTGATCCGCCCGTCTCGGCCTCCCAAAGTGCTGGGATTACAGGCTTGAGCCACCGCGCCCGGCCAGCACAATTTTCTTTGTAGTTGTAGCCTTTTTCCAGAAAATCGACTTAGAGTGCCCACCGTAGCCACTCTGCTTGCTGTCATAACGCCGCTTTCCCTGGGCATACAGAGAATCCTTGCCCTTCTTGTACTGGGTCACTTTGTGGGGCTGGTGCTTGTCATACTTCTTACAGAACGTCCGACGGGTTTTAAGCACATTCACCCTGTTTGCGTGAGCGCTACTGGCAAGGAAAAGAGATTTTTCAGATCTTTTAAAAAGATAACTGACTGTTTAAAACAAAAATAATAAGAATGTAATTTGAAGCTTTTGTGGTTTTTTTTGAGTCAGAGTCTCACTCTGTTGCCCAGACTGGAGTGTAGTGACATGATCTCCACTCACTGCAACTTCCGCCTCCCAGGTTCAAGTGATTGTCCTGCCTCAGCCTCCCAAGTAGCTGGGATTACAGGTGTGTGCCACTATGGTCAGTTAATTTTTGTATTTTTAGTAGAGACGGGATTTCACCGTGTTGCCCAGGCTGGTCTTGAACTCCTGGCATCAAGTAATCCACCTGCCTTGGCTTCCCTAAGTGCTGGTATTACAGGTGTGAACCACTGTACCTGGTCATAATTTGAAGCTTATAACATGAAGTAAGTGAAAAGTATGGCAACAAGAACACAGAGTCTGGGGAGGGGCAAGTAGAAATACACAGTTGTAAAGGTCCTATGCAAGCATAAAGTGCCAGACTGTGCCCAGCCAGATCCTAAAGTTTATATAAAAAGACAAAAGATCCAGAATATCCAACGCGGTATTGAAGAAGAAGAACAAAGTTGGAGGACTGAGCCTACACGACCTCAGGATGTACTACAAAGCTACGGTAACGAAGACAGTGTGTTATCGGCAAAAGAATAGAAAAATAGACCAACGGGCAGAATAGAAAGCACAGAGGTAACAGGCTCATATAAATATAATAATCCACTGATATTTGACACAGAAGTAAAGGCAATTCGACAGACAAAAGAAAATCATTTCGGCCGGGCGCGGTGACTCACGCTTGTAATCCCAGCACTTTGGGAGGCCGAGATGGGTGGATCAGGAGATCGAGACCATCCTGGCTAACATGGTGAAACCCCGACTCTACTAAAAATTACAAAAAACTAGCCGGGCGAGGTGGCGGGCGCCTGTAGTCCCAGCTACTCGGGAGGCTGAGGCAGGAGAATGGCGTAAACCCGGGAGGCAGAGCTTGCAGTGAGCTGAGATCCGGCCACCGCACTCCAGCCTGGGTGACAGAGCGAGACTCTGTCTCAAAAAAAAAAAAAAAAAAAAAAGAAAATCATTTCAACAAATGGTGCTAGAACACCTGGATGTATGGGGAGAACAAAAGAACCTAGGCATAGACCTTATTCCCGTCACAAAAATTAGCTTAAAATGGATTCTGGACCTAAAAGCGTAGCAGAACTATAAAGCTCCTAGAAGATAACACAGGATAAAGTTTAGTTGACTCTGAGTTTGGTGATGACTTTCTTTGTTTTGTTTCATTTTAAGATCCAGTCTCACCCTGTTGCCCAGGCTGGAATGCAGTGGTGTGACGGTAGCTCACTGCAGCCTCAACCTCCTGAGCTTAAGTGATCCTCCCACCTCAGTCTCCCGAGCAGCTAGGACCACAGGCATGCACCACCATGCCCAGCTGATGAGGAAATTTTTAGATACAGCACCAAAAATATGGCCCACGAAAAAAAATGTAATAAGTTGGACTTATTAAAATTATAAACTTCTGCAGCGTAAAAGACACTGCTAAGAGAATGGAGTCACAAGGCACAGACTGGGAGAACATTTTGGTCAAACACACGTCTGATAACGACCTTGAATCCAAAATATACGAAGAACGCTTAAAATTCAGTGACTTTAAAAAACCATTTAAGACAGTGCAAAAGGTATGAGCAGATGTCCTCCACCCCCAGAGAGGATCGACAGATGGGAAATAAGCATATGTTTAGCAAATCAAACCCCAAAATATGGAAAAAGGATAATACTCATGACCAAGTGGGATTTATCCTGGGAATGCCAGGTTATTTTATCATGTTTTAAAACTCAACGAATTTAATTCACTGTATTAACAGACTGAAAAAGAAAATGCCTGTGAACATCTCCACAGGTTCAGAAAAAGTTTTTCACAAAATCCAGTATCCATTCCTGATCAAAACTCCCAGCAAACAGAGAAGAAAAGGAAATTTCCTCAACCTGATTTAAAAAAATAAAAGTACAGAAAACCCTACAGCGAGCATCATCCTTAATGGTGAAAACTGAATGTTTTTCTCCTATGATCAGGAACAAGACAAGAATGTCTGCTCTCACAGCTTCCATTCATCATTCACTGGGGTCTAGCCAGTGCAAAGAAAACAAAAATTAATCCCGATTGAAAAGGAAGCACAAGTGTCTTTATTTTTGAAAGACATGATCATCTTTGAAGAAAAACCTACACAATCTATGAGAAAGTTACTAAAACTGATAAATTAGTTTGCACGGTTGTAGGATAGGTCAATGGATGAATATCAACTGTATTTCTGTATAACAGCAACGACCATTCGAAGTTGATTATTTATTTATTTATTTATTTATTTATTTTGAGAAGGAGTCTTGTCAAATTTATCCTGAAGTATCTATTTTCAATTTTCTTCTAAATGGCCATTTTACACATCAATTTCAGGCTGGGCACAGTGGTTCACGCCTGTAATCCCAGCACTTTGGGAGGCCGAGGCAGTGCAGTGGTACAATCTGTGCTCACTGCAAGCTCCACCACCCAGGCTCCAGCAATTCTCCTGCCCAGCCTCCTTAGTGGCAGGGATTACGGGTGTGCTCTACCACGCCCAGCTAATTTTTTAATTTTTAGTAGGGAGGGGTTTCACCATATTGGCCAGGCTGGTCTTGAACTCTTGACCTCAGGTGCTCGGCCTGTCTTGACTTCCCAAAGTGCTGGGATTACAGGCATGAGCCACTGTGCCCAGCCCGGAATTGATGTTTAAAACGGCCATTTAGAAGAAAATTGAAAATAGATATTTCAGGATAAAAATGACAAACATGTCCAAGACCTGTACTCTGACACTCTAAATACACTAAGCAAAAGTAGAATACTAAGAAAATGGAGAGATACACAGTGTTCATGGATAGAATCAATATTGTCAACAAGTCAGTTGTTCCCAAATTGATCTATAGGATCAACCCAATCCAAATCTCAAGACAATTTTTTTTTTTTTTAAGAAATGGACAAGCTGATTTTATTTTATTTATTTATTTATTTATTTATTTATTTATTTATTTATTTATTTTTGAGACGGAGTCTGGCTCTGTCATCCAGGCTGGAGTGCAGTGGTGCGATCTCTGCTCACTGCAAACTCCACCTCCCGGGTTCACGCCATTCTCCTGCCTCAGCCTCCCGAGTAGCTGGGACTACAGTACAGGCACCCACCACCATGGTCGGCTAATTTTTTGTATTTTTAGTAGAGACGGGGTTTCACCATGTTAGCCAGGATGGTCTCCATCTCCTGACCTCGTGATCTGCCCGCCTCGGCCTCCCAAAGTGCTGGGATTACAGGCATGAACCACCGCGCCCAGCATGAACAAGCTGATTTTAAAATGTGTATCAAAATACAAAGGATCTAAAATAACTAAAATCAGGCCAGGTGCCGTGGCTCACACCTGTAATCCCAGCACTTTGGGAGGCCAAGGTGGGCGGATCGTGTGAGGTCAGGAGTTCAAGACTAGCTTGACCAACATGGTGAAACTCCATCTCTACTAAAATACAAAAATTAGCCAGGCATGGTGGTGGGTGCCTTAATCCCAGCTACTTGGGAGGCTGAGGCAGGATAATCGCTTGAACTCAGGAGGCAGAGGTTGCAGTGAGCCAAGATCGCACCATTGCACTCTAGCCTGGGTGACAGAATGAGACTCCATCTCAAAAAAAAAAAGAAAAAAAAAGTCCACATATCTTCCATGCAACCCAGCAATCCCCCTCCTAGATATTTACACAGAAGAAGCAAGAGCAGGTGTCAACACAGACTTGTATGGGCATGTTCCCAGCAGCTTCACTTATAATTGCCAAAAACTGGAATCCTCCCAAAATGCCATGAACAGTTAGATAGAGAAACAGATTGTGCCCGTGATGGAAAACTATTCTGCAATAATGATTGAGGAGCTATTGACTGTGATAGGCAGAACAATGGTCCCCCAAAAGATGTTCATGCCCTAATCCCGGGAAGTTGGGAATACATTAGGTTTATGCTGAAGGGGAATTGAGGTTGCAGATAGAATTAAGGTTGCTAAGCAGCTGGCCTTAAATAGGGAGATTATCCTGGATTATCTGAGTCAGCAATGAGATCACAAGATGCTTAAAAACGGAAGAAGGAGGCGGAAGAGGAGGTCAGAGTGCCGGCATGTGGGAAGGGCTAGCCTGGTCAACGCTGGTTTTGAAGATGGAGGTGGGCCGCCAGCCAAGGAACGAAGGCAGCCTTGGGAGCTGGAGGGGCGGGGGATGTGGATTTTCCATGTGAGCCTCCAGAGAAAGCACAGTCATTCCTGTTGACACCTTCATTTTGGCCTAGTGGGACCCATTTCAGAATTCTGGCCTCCAGAATTGTAAGGTTAATAGATTTGTGTTGTTTTAAGCCACTCAGTGTGTGGCAATTTGTGACAGTAGCCAGGAGAAAGTGAACACATTGACACATGCATGACACGAATACATCTCAAAATAATTATGCTGAACACATTGATACATGCGGTGACACGGTTACCTCTCAAAATAATTATGCCGAGTGAAAGAAACCAGAAAAAAAATAAGCACGTGCCGGCTGACCTCATCTATACAACGTTCTAGAAATGGAAACTCGTCTACAAAAAGCAGAACAGTAGCTGTCTAGGAACAGGGATGGGGGTGGGGAGGAGGGGGGAACAGGGAGGGATGGTCCACGGGTCACAGCGGAGGCTGTGGAGGGAAGTTCGCAATCTCGACCACGGAGATGCCTTCGTCAGCGCTCACAGGTCTCGAAACCGGCCGAGTCGTACACTTCAGGTACATGCAGTTGACTGTCCATCCGTTATCCAGTCATTCGCCGGGAAACCACGGGAAAATGAGTCCTGAGGCAATTTCATGGTTGTGTGAACATTGCAGAGTGCACTTACACAAACCCAGATGGTGTGACCTGCCACACAGCCGGGCTGCATGGTTGAGCCCACTGCTCCTAGGTGGCAGGCCCCCCAGCTGGGTGCTGAGCTGAATACCGCAGGCAACTGGAACACAACGGTAAGCATTTGCGTATCTCAACACAGAGAAGGTAGCTCGTTGTGCTACAGCCTTACGAGGCCTACGACATCACTAGGCGATAGAAACTTTTCAACCCCTTTATAATCAGATGGAACCCCCGGGGTCTAAGCGTTCCGTTATACTTCAAATAAAATGATAAAAAGGCTGAGTGCTGTGGCTTTTACACCTATAATCTTAGCACTTTGGGAGGCCGAGGCAGGAGGATTGCTCGAGACCAGGAGTTTGAGACCAACCTGGACAACACAGTGAGACCCCGTCCGTACAAAACATTTAAAAATTAGCCGAGTGTGGTGGTGCATGTCTGTGATCCCAGCTGCTCAGGAGGCTGAGATGGGAGGATCACTTGAGCCCAGGAGGTTAAGGCTGCAGTGAACTATGATCGCACTGCTGCGCTCCACCCTGGGCGATGCAGTGAGACCCTGTCTCCCAAAAAAAAAAAAAACAAAAAAACAAAAAACAGTTTTAACCATGTGAATGTTCATAAGCTAGCAACAGTAAAAATGGGGTCAGATAGTTCAAAAGAAATGTGTCAGATGTTGATTTGGGCTATGGGGAGACCCAGCCTCATTGAGGGGCTGGGGAGGCTTCTCTGGGAGCAGCATCTGGGGCCGGATCTGCGGGACAGTACCGGTCAGTGTGCTGAGAGGAGGCGTCCATAGACAGCAAGCTGGGCAGAGGCCACATGGGGAAGAGTTCCTGGGGTGAGCGGGGGACACCAAGGTCAGCAGGGGACCAAGACCACAGGGGACCTTGGGCTCCAGAACTCTGTTCCTGTAGCCAAGTGCGCTGGAAATCACAGAGTCCTGGGGTAGAGGAACGGGGTCAGACGAGCCTTTAAACAAGAGCCTCCACTGCCTACACTATGGTGAGCAAACTGTAAGGGCCCCAGCCCTGCAGAGGAGAGAGGAAAGGCGGGCCCAGGTGGGCACCTGCCAGGAGAAGGGGTCTGGGAGAATAGGGGCTGGTGCTTGGGTTGAGAAGGGAGTTGAATCACTGTCTGCGATGGAAACAACACAGAACAGGGGCCAGTCCTCCTGCCGGGTGCAGGTGAGTGCAGGGAGAATCTGCTGCGAGGCCCGGGCACCTCGGGAGGTGGGCATGGAAGCCGGGCAGAGGGTGCTGAGGCCCTGTTAGGGGTTCAGTCGTGTCCCCCAGAATTCATGTGTTGAAGCCCTGATCCCCAGGACCTCAGAACGCGGCTTTATTTGGAGATGGGTCTTTACAGAGATGAGTAAGTTAAAATGAGGTCTTTAGGATGGGCCCTAATCCTATAGGCCTGGTGTCCTTGTAAAAAGTGGAAATTAGGACAGAGACACACACAGAGGGGTGGCCCTGTGGGGACAGAGCGAGAAGGAGGCCCCAGGAGGAGCCAGCCCTGCCCACACCTTGATCTCAGACTCCAGCCTCCAGAATACGAAAAAAATTGATGTCTGTTGTTTAACCTGCACAGTCTGTGGTCTCTGTTCAGGCAGCTCTAAGCAAATCCGCCTACTGCTTTTCTGAACGAACCTCTGAGAGTTAGCTGAGTCCGTCACTAAGTCCATGTACGACTCTGCCGTGGACCCATCGGAGTTGGGGACCAGGAGGACCCTGCTGACCCTGGGCGGCCGACTGTGATGCACAGAAGGTGGCAGGAGCAGATGTGGGTGGGGAGGAGGGACAGCATTCGAGGGGACAGGTCCTGAGCAGGGTAGACAGCGAGGGTCAGCTGGGAGAATTGGGGTTCATTTGGGGTGGAGCATGGGTGGGGCCAGCAAGAGCCTGCAGCACAGGACGCGGGGCCACCCTCAGGCCCTGGTGGACGCTGCTTGTGTCTCTGGGCCCAGGGATGAAACTACTGAGGCTGCTTCTGGCTGCGTTGCCTGCCTCAGACAGGGATATGCCAGGCAGCCTGAGTGTGGGGTGCTGTGGGGGAGCCACGAGAGCCACCAGCCCCAGTTCTGCTCTCACCAGCGGCTGGGAAGGGAGAGACGGGTCACTCTCATCTCCTCCCCCAGACAGCGGGGAGGCGGTGGAACCTCTGTGGAGATGCCTGCTGGGCACCTTGGTTCCCTCCTCCGCAGTGGAGGGCGGGTGGGGCTGGGCCCTGGGCCAAGGACTCCTACGTCTCGACCTGGGGCCTCTGCTTAGTGACCGAGTTAAGGAGGATAAGAACAGGAGCCAGAGGGGCCTGGGAGAGCTGAGCGACCACCAGGGGCCAGCCAGGGATGGGGGCTGTGGGGGTCGAGGGCCATAGCAGGCTGGGGGCCCTGGGCTGGGAGGGGAGACGCCTGCCCGCCATGTCACTTGGATGGGTGGGAGCTCTGGCTTGAGCACCAGACTCCAGGGTGAAAATCCTGACTCCGTGACTTCATGGCTGCTGGACCTGCCCTGCCTCTGTCTTCTTGCCTGTGAAGTGGGATCAAGTTTCTGTCTCTGTCAAAGGTGGAGCGGATGCTCCATCCTCAGCACTCTCAGCGCGACGTTCTGCCCGGCGATGGGGTGGATACTCGGGGAGGACCGTGAGTGAGTCGGGGCTTAAGGCAGGAGAGGAACAAAGAGTGGAACAGGTGGAGTGACTGCGGCCCTGGCCCACCTGGGGTTGCACGCGTGGACTGACTGCGGTTCCTGGGCTTGAGAGGTGCCCGGACTGCAGGACTTTCGGTTTTACAAAGGTCAGCTGGTCACCCGGCACAAGGGCTGTATTAGTGTCTGACTGATTAACTGCTGTGGCAGATTACCACAAACACAGTGGCTTAACACAACGCAAATCTATCGTCTTGCAGTTTGGGGGGTCGCAAGTCCCACGCGGTTTTCACGGAGCTAATATCAAGATGCCTGCAGGGCATCTCCCTTCTGGAGCCCCTGAGAGCAAATCCATCTCTCCCTGTATCTCCCATTCCTGGAGGCTGCCAGCATTCTCTGGCTCACAGTCCCCTCCTCTGCCTTCAAGTTCAGCAGTGGCATCTTCTGGTCTCCTGTGGCTCTGACCCTCCCCCGCTCCTATCCTGATGCTTGTGATTGCCCTCAGCCTGTCCAGACATTCCAGAACAATCTCCCATCCCATGTGCCTTGACTTAACCACATCTGGAGTCCCCTTTGTCATGTAGGTCCTGGTGATTAGAATGCAGACATCTTCGGGGACCCTTTTCAGTCCAGCAAAAGAACACAGGATTGGGTAGCAGGAAGGGGCAGGGAAAGACGTGGAGGGGCCGTGGGCAGAGGCTGGGTACTATTGAGGGGTCCAGAGACAGGAGGATGGGGTGAAGGGGGGCTCCTGCCCTGCTCCCTGGTGAGGTGAGGGGCCTGGCTCCACTCGCCACAGGCCAGACCCACAGAGGTCCGGAGACAATCCTGCTTTGCTGGGCGTTGCAGTAAGCGCCTTCTCTTTCAGGGTAGGCGGTGGTGTGTGGCTGGCACCCCTGGGGCGCTCGGGTTTCCCCAGATGAGGACACAGCAGCTCAGGAGGGGCATCCCTGGCCGGAGTGTGAGCCGCTGTGGCGAGGGGCCTGCTGGCTAGAAGGGCGTCCTGCCCATGGGGGAGTGTACGGTGGGGACCCCAGCGCTGTGTTCACTGGGGCTATGTCTGGGGCACAGGGGAGGAGGACACACGACTGTGGGAGAACAGTGGGGACACTGCCCATCACCCCAACAGGGACGTGACTTTTGCCAAACTGCAAAGGCAGCAAAAAAGCAAGATCAGGAGGTGCTGCACTGTCCCTTGTGCAAGCTCCTCTGTCAGCATCAGGGTTTTATCATCTGGGGCAAGGGATCAAGGCCCTGCCTGCTCCCCAGGGCCTGGGGGGAAGAGACAAGACAGCAAGTAAGAAAGGGCTTGGGGGCATGAAGCCGACTGCACTGGTGAGGGGCTGGTGGCTGCCATCTGCAGATGACCCTTCGGGGCCACTGCCTTCCCAGCATCTTCTCCCTCCTTGCTGCTGGGACCGCATTGGAACCTCACCTCGGTCTCCACATGGACGCTCTGGGCTCTGTAATGTCACCCTCCCAGCTCCCATGCCCTGGCCTCCTGAGTCCCCGGCTACAGTCTCACCCCCTCAGGACCTGGGCAGCTCACAGCCTCCCGGGAGGTAACAGCTCCCAGCGGTGAAACAGCTGTGACCGGGCTCCCATATGTTGTCTGCACCCTAGGATGAGAGGTCCGCCCTGGCTGAGGGTGGACGCCCCTTGTCATGATCTCAGCAGTGGAAGGACAGGCTCAGCCAGGCCCAGGAGGCAGGAGGGCACTGCCTGTGTGGGCAGAACCTACAACAGAGGCCAGGCAGGTGCACCGATGGATGGGGCCTCTGCCAAAGGGCGTGGAAGAGCTGCCGTCCAGCTGAGAGGCACGGGCTGTGTGTGCAGGATGGACGGCTGTGGCAGAGAACAGGGGCTGCCTGGACCACGGTGAGAGGCTGCAGAGCTGGGGAAGCGGCGTGGTGCTGTGACTTCAGGCCAGCCTCACATGACAACCCCAGCACAGGGCCGCGGGAGCCACATTCAGAAGGGGAAGGAAGTCACCGGCTGGGCTGCAGACCGCAGGAAGCGCCTCACACCATGTGCTCAGAGGTCACCTGGACTTGGGCCTCAGCGGTCGCTGGTGCATGACACTTGGGGAGGGAGTGAACTTTCCCGGGGGTTTCTCTTGCAGGCCAGGGGCCTGGGGTCAGAGCCCAGGGATGCTGCAGATGCCCTCAGTGGCCTCCACAGCCTCGCCTCTGCCTCCCGGTGCTGACTCTGTTGCACCCCACTGGATTAGGGAACACCTTTCCCAGCGTCCCAGCTGCCGCCCTCTCACCTGCAGGGATTACTCCTCCCGCTGCCAGATCCTTCCAGCAGCTTCGAGCACATCCTAGAGCATCCTGGCCACCCCGTCGCTTGCCTGCCCCTCCAAGAGAGTCAGCCTCAGACACCAGCTCCCGGCACCTCCTCTCCACCTCTTTCAAACCTGAACCACTCAGAGCTGCCCCAGCAAGGTCCTGAGGGCTGCACATGGCCGTGTCTGGGGCATCAGAGCACGGACGAGTCTCCCGGTCGCTTCTGGGAGCCCTTCCCGTGCTTGGCCCCGGGACCTCCACAGGCATCCTCCTTTCCCCGCTGGCTGCTCTATCTCCGGCTTTGTCCCCTCCCCAGCTTTTCCTTGCTGCCTCTGTGTCCACCCGGACCCCTTACGATTTCCTGCCACCTCCAGGCTGGAAATCCTCTTGGGCTGCGGGGTTCCATGCGCATCTCGGCCAGGGCGCTCCTCACATTCCTGGACCTGCATCCCGCTGCCCGTTGGCCACACACTTGAGGCCTCACAGCAAGTCACCCCTGGCAGTTCTGACCGCCCCCTTCAGACAGTCTCTTTCTCAGCCTCCCCTTCTAGGAGACGTCCCCCGATCACCACCACCTCCGCCCATCCAGCCCACCAGCAAAATCTGCCACCTCACCCTGCCTTGTTGGCCACCACACCCCACACAGCCACCCCATCTTCCTCCTCTGCTTCTCCCACGCCCCATCACACTCCTCTCTCAACGAGCACCAGTGGCCCTGAGAGCCTGCTGAGGTGGTCCTCACCCTCCTGTTCTCAGCCCTGCAGATGCCCCACAGGACACTCAGGGTGCAGCCCGCAGGGTCCAGCTCCCTCCTCTGTGCACTCCAGTGCCTGCCCGCCTGCACCCCTGGCCTGGGGCATTTGTGCCCGCTGGGCAGGAGGCTGGCTTCCTCCCTGCCTCTGTGTCCTTACCCATACCCCAGGCATCCCCAGCAGCGGCCCCGCCCTTCCCCTTTACTGCTCTTCCAGTCACCACCCCTGTGTTTGTTACTATGTCCCCCATGTCCCCCATCCCCTACTATTCGCTCCTGGAGGGCAGGGATTTCTGTCTGTTCTGCTCGTCACAGCATCCACATCACGTAGGCCACAGAACGTGCGGCACAAACCCTTGGCAAATGGAGCAGCAAATGGACCAAGAAAGGGGGGGCTTCATCTCCCTGCTGCGGCAACTCCGTCCCCGGGGCAGGAAAGGGCCTGCACTCTACAGACAGGACCCTGCTGGGAGGTCTCTGTGGAGACTTTGGGAGCACGGCGCAGAGCCACAGGCAGGGCTGCCTCCTGCCTGGCCCTGGTCCTCCCAAGAGGACCCAGCCTATGCGCACAAGGAGCAGGGGGAGCCATGGACCCCGAGAACCCCCTTTCCCTCTGCCCAGCTTGCACTCTCCTGTGTTAACTGTTGCCCAGACAGGGGCGCAGTCCCTGCAAACTCAGTAGGGTGAGTGAGTGAGAGGCTATAGCGTGTCCCACGTGGGACCCAGAGAGAGGAGCCTCCTTGCCAACACTCCCAGCAGCGCCCACCTGATTGCCTGTGAACAGACTCAGATGCCCTTACCATGGCATTCAAGGCTCTTCCAGCCTCCCTTGACCTCTCTGTCCAGCCTCCAGGGCTGCAGTTCACCTCCACCTGTGCACCCTCGGTCTGACCAAGCCAGCAGGATGGCGTGCTGGCCTCCCTGCCCCTGCTTGTGTTGGGGGCCCCTGCCCGGGCGCCCTTCCCCCGAGGCCCTGCCTCCCCCAGTAGGCTCCGCACCC